TGCCCTGTCAAGTAACAACACTGGCGTTCTAAACTATTGCATCCCCTGCACATAGCTTGACATTATATTAGATACTCATTCACTACACACTTGGTGAATGAATTTGGTAGAGTGACACCACCAAATGGGACAGATCTGGAGGGTGGAATGAATGGGCTGGAGATATTTTGTTTGGAGTTAGAAGCTTGAATGATGCTGCTGCTTCTTTTTCTTTCTTTCTTTTTTTTGAGTGCTTTTTTCAAATAGAGTTGTTAGAAAAGCAGGGATTAAACCTTATGCTATACATTCGGGGTTATTGGGATGTAGTAATGGTTTAATGTAGCATTTCCCAAACAACAGTTCAATGTGATGTGGTATCAGGGGGAAATTGCCTATATCAAGGAAGTTTGGGAAATCCTGGATTAAATGTTTCAGTTTAACTTTAAAACTTCTTAAAGCCTTTATTTACTATGTCACTGTGCTTTGGACTCTAAAGGGGAGATATGCTACACAGCTTTTTCCAAACCTTTATTCAGCAGTTATTTAGGACAGTTCACTATGTTCTGGGCACAGTGCTAGGTCTTGGGAATACAATACTGGGCCAAACAGACCTGTTCTTCCTGAGTTTATGTTCAGTGTGTGAAATAAATACCACCCAAATATTTATTATAAACACGGTAAATGATATAAAGACAGAGGTCATTGATGTTTTATAAGTAATAATGCAAAACATACCTCTTCCACACTCAATATAAAAAGATTGAAGCACAAATATTTATCTTCAGGCTTTCATCAGCATGGTTCCAATAGTCTATCTTAGTTTGAATAACCTTGTCACAGGTCTAACATATTTCCCTTACTAAAAATGTATTACATTTTCAGAAGCAAAGTCTAGAGGCAAAAGCAAGATACCACTCATTTGTGAAAAGGTCAGAATTAATAAATACCTCCAGATGCTTGATGAGAATAGACCCAATTTTGGGGGGTTGCTTAAATTAGAGTGATGCTGAAACATAAGATATGTACTGTGGTCTATGCTGCAACTAAAATGAATGTGGACTGACGCAAGGATCCTATCCACAGTGGTTCCTACTGAAAGTAGCAGATTTGAGTAAGCAAGTCTTCATCAGCAATGCAAACCCGAACCAACTGCACTTGGTATATTGATTTCTAAATGACAAGGTTCTTATTTTTATAGATGATATTTTTAACAGGAAAATAAGATTTTAATGTGTTATTAAATGCTCTTGAGTTTATTTTTTCTTTTTATGAACATTCGCAAAGCACGGACTATGTGCTAGACCAGTGGTGTGGTCGGCAAACTCATTAGTCAACAGAGCCAAATACCAACAGTACAATTGAAATTTCTTTTGAGAGCCAATTTTTTTAAACTTAAAACTTCTTTTAATACCACTTCTCCAAAAGAGACTCACCCAGGCTGTGGTATTTTGTGGAAGAGCACATGTATTTAAATTTTAATGTTACCCTATTAATTTGGTAATTTAATGAGCCCAGATAGAAAAATTTAGGTTGATGGGCCAGGTATACAAGGTCACCAGGGCAGAAAGCCCCGAGTGCCTAGCAATGGGCAAAACTAGGAACAAGGACATCACCCCCAGGGTAACTTCTCCTTCCCTAGCATGCCATAGGTCATGCAGTTTAGACCTCTGATTTTTTATATCATCAGTCATGAGATTTAGACCCTCCCATGGCATGTTGCTAGTCATGGAGTAACTCCCTTGGAAGAGGAAACAAGGGGCTGAAGAATGGCTTCATGTTGACTCCCATATGGGTCCTTGCACACTCCTTTAAGCATTAGGGTAAGGTGACCAGACATCCCGATTTTTAACAATTTGTCCCACGGGGTTTTAAAAAAGTTGGACTTTTTTAAGATAACGCAGGACGCGGGACAAATTGTTAAAAATTGGGACTGTCCTGTCAAAAGCGGGACGTCTGGTCACCTTACCCTAGGGATAACATCTAGGTCTCATTGTGTTTCAGCTCCAGGCCCAGAAAAGCAGCAAGTGATGCCATGGCTGACATCGGGACCAGCTGCATTGACTAATGAACTCTGCCATGGCCTCAACCAATCAGTGGAGACCATGACTCTGAAAGGATACACTTAGAAAGCTGATTAATATTCCATTGAGATTCTCCCCTGGTACCTCCCCTACAATTCCCACCCTTAAAAACCTTTAGGTTGGAGGCTCTCCCTCTCAGGAGCATGCTCATGCCTTCCCAGTACCCCTCCTCTTCCCCTCAGGTACATCACCTCTCTCTCCCAAGCTCCAAAGACCCCTTCTTTTGCCTCTGTAACTTGTTTCCTAAGCCCGTATCTTCTACAGATCACTTCTTTTATCTGGGTGACTTTCTAAATACACTTTCTCTTATGGGTTGAGTCTTGACTCTGTATTCAAGTACTGAGGTTGTGGAACTGATGTCTGGTTTGCCTCCACCAGTTAACACCTGTTGCCATTTCTACCACTGCCAACAGAGGGGAAAGTATTTTTTTTTTTTTTTAGCCCCCACATTATAAATGTTACACTTTTTTCCCTGCCATACCCTAAGATTCTACACTTTTACTCCAACTATGTTGGCACATCTAACAGAGAACCAACTTACCTCAGACCTAAATATCAATAATATGATAAATGAAACTCATCATTTAGCATGACCCACATAATTCTTCCACTTTTTTGAACATGTAAAGAAAAAGTTACCTCATATAACCTATAAAAACATAAACATACTCCAGAAAAATAGCCATTAAAAGTTACTGTCACTCAATATCAAATCTTGTATGTCTTCTCAATTTCTATCTAGTTTCCAGTGAAAGGGGGTGGGGGTGAGAGGAGGAGAATAAAGCTAACAGAAATGGTTGACCCATAGCTTCACTTCAGAATGGCTGGACTATGTCATTGTATCAGCATGCTGAAAAGACTGGTAGGTCAATTTTATTCAATTATGATCAGGCTACTTTAGGTCTCTAGATACATAAGGTGCTTAATTCAACTCTATCCATGGCTAGAACTAAGATCATCCAAATGCAAAACAACATTACAAAAGACAAACAATTATTTCCTTTAGGCTGAACTTATTTCCTTCCTGGTTAACAATGGCAATAATTTTTTTTAAAATATATTTTTTTATTGATTTCAGAGAGGAAGAGAGAGAGTGAAACATCAATGACGAGACAGGATAATTTATTGGCTGCCTCCTGCATGCTCCCTATTGGGGGTCAACCCCACTACCCAGCCATGTGCCCTTGACTGGAATTGAACCCGGGACCCTTTGGTCTGCAGGCTGACGTTCTATCCACTGAGCCAAAAAAGTTGGGGCAACAATGGCAATATTTACAATAAAACACATTTTCATTTTCTTAGGGGGTTCGCTACCAAGAATGAGTTAAACAAGCATAAAGATTTGTGGCCTTTTCTAAGTTTCTTTTTTATAGCCTCCTTTATCCCTCAGAGCTTTTATTTCTTAGAGGAACTTTTATGACTGGTATACGACTAATGAAATTTCAATGAGTCCCCTAACAGGTAACTTGCTTTATATAAATTTCATTTCTAACTTCTAGAAATAAAGACAGAAATTTTATTAAATTTTTAATAAACCATGAAATTTAAATATTAAAAAACAAAACAAAAATAGATATTTAAGCCAGCACTAACTTGTGTTTCTATTTTCTCTCTTGATATTGGAGTCTTGACTTACCTAGAACTAGAGTAAATGCAGTTATTATATTAATATAATGCTGGTTTAACTCATTAGAACAAGAAAGTGAAAATGGGCAATGGCTTGATAAAATTTGCTTTCCAATCTGGAAGCAAAGAGTATTAGTAGCTCACATGAGCCCACAGCAGAGACTTGCCCGGGTCTTGTCTGTGGAAAAGTATGTCTTACCGCACTTGCTTCTTCACAGCTCAGCACTCCCTGGCATTTTGATCCTTTTGCCCATTGATGCTCACTTCAGTCTGTCAAAACATCAAGGGGGAAAATCCCCAAACTGAACAGACGAATAAACACTTTTAATGTGAACAATCATATTCAGATCAACCTTTCAAAAAAATACAAGTCAGTGGGTTTTTTTTATCCTAAAGTAACTCAAATATTGCTATTTTTTCTGCCTGTATTAAAATGGCACTTTTCATTTTATGGACGTTAGCCAGTTATTTGCTACTTGCTTCGGTTCTTCTCTGACCACATTTTTATTTGAGCCTTATTTCTTTTATTCCAGAATACTTGATCTTTGACTAAGTTTATCTCATTTTGTGAATAAGTCTGCTATTAATCAGTGAAAATCACAGAAGGAAAAAAGAAGCAGTGAGCACCAGTGAGATCTCACTTCAATATATATAGCTTTTATAAGAAAAACATTCATTTTTATTGTGCAATCTAAAACCATTATTGAATGATAGTAGGTCTTTTAGTATAACCAAATGGGCCGACATTCAATATGGACAGCTTACAAGAGACAAAGTGTAATGCACAAATACTTCCAGCTGGTAGAATTTTAGCAGCATGGTGATTAAGTGCAGCAAAATTTCCCTTATATAGAGTAAGAATCCAGTAACCTCTGGATATGTTTGGTAACGTTAAGAAAAAGCTACTGCAGTCAAGAGATCAGTAATCTTTAGACTTCAAAGACTGGATACCAGGGACCACAGTGAAATATTAGACCTGAAGCCAATGGAAAACACTAACTTAGAAAGGAATGGTTTTCCCAAAAATGTAAAATTATCCTATACAGATGCTTGGTATACTAGGACCTGACAGGTTTACAGTGGTAAAACAGCAGAGATAAATGATAACATTATTTATATCTTTACCACGTGAAGGACACAGATTTAAAAATTAGCAGCTAGAACACATGTGACAGCTCCTGAGACAGATTATCCTATGTCCTACATTCATTCCAGGCTGTGATGGCCAGTCTGAATGGTAACGCATTAAGAGTGAAAACAGTGACCTAGTATGTCAGTCAGAAAGTACTAGAAACGTGACAAAATTGTATGTTATTAAATGATAAAACATATTTTGAAGCTTTATTTAAAAATCTCTCACTGTTCATTATCAAAGTTACAAGATTGTTTGCATACCAATAGACGGACTGTAAACAGGAAATTTTCATTAAGGAAAGATGGGTTTACTGTAACTTGATCTTTTACAAAAAACTGCTGCAAGTTATTGATAACAGAATTTCTCTTTTACTTTCTTAAGTCTAATTCTCTTGAAAATTAAACCAATGTTTCCACTGCCTTGAGCTAAAGTTCAACCATGGTCACCTTAGGAAATACCCCTGTTTATTTGTTAATCAGAAATACAAATTGAGTGGCACATATTTCCATTTTCTTCTTAGGCCAAAGGTTTCGGCTTCATTATATTTTACAAGAAAACAGAAGACTTGCAGTGATCCTGTAAAGTCTTTCCTGTCGCAGCTGAGGTTTAATGACGGCAGTGGAGGAAAGCAGTGGTGATGCAAAGCAAGACCAGCCCCAGTGCCCTTATCAGACATGGAATCTTTTTCCTGTTTGGCTTGCAGCAGGGTTTCTGGTCAGGTTGCCTCCACCAAACCTGACTGAAGCAGAAGGGTAACATGCTCTGGTAAATCCTGTCATAGTTGATCCTTCAATCTGTGGGTTGTGGGATGATACTAATATGGAGAAAATTATCCGGGTAGCTCAGATGTTCACTCAGCCATTGTAGAGGTGTTTCCAACATTGGCTCAATTCCATGAATCATCACTTGATTCTTTCTTTCCCCATCTATTCCAAGAAAGAAATCCAATAATAATCAACATGATTTAAAACAGTTGAAGAAAAAAAATAATCTGTCTTTTAAGAGTCCTTAGTGAATTAGATGCATTTTACAGCTTCAACAGATTAAACCTGGTCTGTCTCCTAAGCAGGAAATGTGGACATGGAGAAAGTTCAGATGTTGCAATATGTATCACCCAAAACAGAAACCTGAGGGTTACAATGAATTCTGATAAAAATTCTGTTGCTATATGTGAAAGTATTCATTCTTTCTTAATTACTGTGCTTACCTAAGATTGACGTTAGTGAAACTATAGTGGAGAAAACAGCCCATTGTACCCACTGACCAGAATTTATTTTAGCTATACATTAAAAACTGTACTATACGGCAATTAAAAATGGCGGGTACATGAAGTAGGTCATACATATGTAAAACAAATAAAATAGATATGTGAGTAGAAATAATCAAGAATAAGATATGTTTAGGAAAATGTTTAATAAAACAGATGGGAGCTATAGGTTAATTTTCAATCAAGTTGTTCAAATAAATATCACAAAGTTTTAGAGACATTATTAGAATAAGAGTTAAAGTTTTAATGAGAAGGAACTGAGAGTCTGACTCAGGGACTTCTGTTTTAGTCATGAAACCTGATTGACTTCTGTTAACACCCTTTCGATAATTAAAAGTTTTTTTTAATTATCGAAAGGGTGTTAAATTCTCTTTTAAATTCAAATTTTATTACAAATTAAATTTAAGGTGAGTTTTACTTCTTTTATGATTTTGGGATGATATTCTGACAATCTTTTAAGTAAACAGAAGTGCGTAGGAAAGCAAGAAAGCAAAACCAAACTCCTCTTTTGGGGGGGAAAAAAGGAAAAGAAAGAAACTGTGTCATTCTTTTAGTACAATTCTTGGTTTGTCACTTTTAGTCTCTTCAAAATAAAATATCTAAACCTCTCAGCTTCCTGGAGACAGAAGACAACAAGGAAACAAGGAATTAATGGAGGGAAATACCCTACTTCCCCCCCATTTTGCTCTGTTCAAAATGACTTTTGCATCTCTAGTGCTCTAATGTCTAGGCAAAACAGGCTAATGATGTATGGTGGAAATGGCTTGGCTGGCACTTGAAACAAGATACCCTTTTGAAGAAATATTTAAACTTCCTGTTAGAGGCAGCACAAGTCCTAGGAGGTGACAGTCAACAAATTGACAATAAGAGAGGGTACAAAACACTACAGAGAATTGCTAAAACAATGCCCAAAATGCAAACTTAACATACTATCAATCCACCAAACGGCCAAATAAAAATTCCAAACAAACTCCCAAATCACTGTCATAGTTTAAAACAATTTTGGAAAAAAAGACATCACCTCATAATATTACTAACCTAAAAAATGCTTTCATGTTTTGTCTGCCAATCTTTGTTGCATCTATACAAGTTTTTTACACAGTTATGATTACAGTGTTAATACAATGATTGGTAATGATGAGTATCATCTGTAAATAAAAGATTAAGCTATACAAAGAGTACTATAGAAAGCAGGGTAATAGTCCTTTGAGAAGATTGAAAATGTTGATATTCAAATGGATACACCTTCCACCATCTGTAATGATTCATACTTCGTAAATTCTAGATTGACAAACTTTACTGTATTAAATCTTTCTTAGAATATTTGAAAACATTTCCGGTGCAGTTCTCTTTATATTCTTATTATATATTTCTTTGAAATATTTTTAATATTCTCAGAATCTTCCTCCTACTTAGCACTGAGTCAAAAGATGAAAGAGCAGTGGTATAAGAGTAAAAGTTCCTTATCTGTAAAGTTTTTCCTTAAACCAGAGTCACTTTTGGATATTCTGAAACAGTATAAAAGAAACAAGTTACAACTCAGTATCCAAAATACTCTGCCTAAAGTATTTAAATGCAGGAGCAAATATAACATAATGTGTGTTTGAAAGGCAAAAGACTAGCCCTGTTACCCAAAAGGATACTTGGAGTTTAAGTTGTACAACAGAAGCTGGAGAACATAAACACGATTAACCCAGTGGATCACATTATCTCAAACCTGAATAGGCAGCACTGATTCTATACTTTAATTTTAGGCCACTTTTAACCTGCAACTTAAAAAATATCACTGACTAAATTTAGACAATGAAGGAAGTGGATCTAATTATGTCTGTCAACACAACAGATAAAATGTTAAATATATTATTTTGGTAATAGTAGTTACAGATTCTCTCTTATTCATCACTGTATCTCCAGTGCCCCCACAATGCATGGCACCTTAGAAACTAGTCAATGAAGGTTTTCAGGGCTTGGATAACTTTGCTGCTGGTAAAATACACTGTCACAATAAATTTTTTGAGATTAGCTTTTAATGGCTAGCAGGACTATATAGAAGAGCCCTACCTACACAGACTGTTGGTTATTAAAACAACAAAAAATCGAAATGTTTCCAGTAAGCCAAGAAGTAAGTATATATGCTAAGCTCATGTTACCATAAATAACAGCAAAGTATGACTACTGTTGGGACAGGGGGAAAGGTCCCCTTAGCTCTTTAGTTCTTCTGACTTGTTGTAATACAAACAACATACAGCAGATTAATAGGGAAAAAATAAAAATTTTAATATGGGTAATTCTCCATAGACAGTAAGGCAACACTGGGTATATATGACACTTTGGGGTAAAAGAGAATAGAGGAGATGGGATACTAGATTTCAGAATGGGTGATTTACAGGTAGTTGAGGAAACATGTGGCTGCAAATTCCTGCTAGACAACTGGGAAACAATGGGACACAAAAGTATTTAGCCTAAGGGTTTTCCTGAGCAATACTAACTAGCAGGGTGCCCATTCTTTTTAAAAATATATATTTTATTGATTTTTACAGAGAGGAAAGAGAGTTAAAAACATCGGTGAGAGAGAAACATCAATCAGCTGCCCCCTGCACACCCTCTACTGGGGATGTGCCTGCAACCAAGGTACATGCCCTGGACCGTAATTAAACTTGGAACCCCTCAGTCCACAGGCCGATGTTCTATAAATTGTGCCATACCGTTAAGGGCCAGGGTGTACATTCTCAAGGTGATTAAGTCAAGGCTCCCTTCCTAAAGCAGGAATCTAAGAAAAAGGGGAAGTGAAAAACTCCCCAAGTTTGTTGGCCTTTAACTGATTTCTATTTGAAATGAACTGCATGCCTGGATGGCACATTTTGGGGATGCTCACTCCCAATTCCCACAATACATTCTGCTAATATCAGAAAGAACAAAACAGAATGGTGAAAAATTAGCAGAGCTTTCTTTTTTTCCCCTAGCAGTAGAAACAGTTGGTGATATTGTTGAAGCAAATCATGTTTTTGGTAAATACGCCTTTGTGTTTCAAAATGTGAATCTAGAATTTAATACTTGGGGATAAGAAATTTGTCACTTCAAAGCAAATGACATAGGAGAAAAATATTACTCCACACTTCACCCACTCAGATTCTTTTTGGAAGTTAGTTTCATGCTTTAAAGCAGGCAAACACTGAGATGGTAATTAAATGAACTAGTTCTATGTAAAATTCTCTGAGACAATGCACTTTTTTCTTGGTGGTGGGGGTACCTTCTTCGATTTCAATATAATTTCAAACATATGGAAGAGTTGCAAGAATCCTCCTAATATATAAAAACCCTGGGTCCATCACATCCACAACAACCAGAGGCTCGACCAACTGGAAGTCAGTCCTACAGTCAGTGCTGGGTTGCCGTGATGACCCAGCACTGCTGCGGCTGCAGGAATAGTGACTCAGCACTGACTGCTGAGGGGGCTGCAAATCAGGCCCGGAGAAAGGCATGAAGAGAGAAGCAGGGTCTGATCCATAGCCTGTTGCCAGCTGTTGATCAGCACTTGCCTCTCTCTTTCTCTCCAGGTCCAGCCAGCAGCCACAACTCCATTTCTCTCCAGGCCTCCACCAGGGCTGCTGATCAGCTCAGTGTCTCTGATCCAGCCCCACTGATAGGCCCAGAGATGCTGACTGGCATAGAAACTGACCAATCAGGACCAAATCTGGGTGAAGTGTAAGCCAATGGCTGTCCAGGAGGCAAAGCTTTTGATGCTGACTGGCATAGAAACTGACCAATCAGGACCAAATCTGGGTGAAGTGTAAGCCAATGGCTGTCCAGGAGGCAAAGCTTTTGATGCTGACTGGCATAGAAATTGACCAATCAGAACCAAATCTGGGTAAACCATGAGGAGCCAATGGCTAGCTAGGAGGCAGAGCTTTTGATGCTGACTGGCATAGTCAATCAGAACCAAATTGGCCAGCAGAGGAGGACAGTTGGGGGCAAGATCAGGCTAGCAGGGGAGGGCAGTTGGGGCAATCAGGCAGGCAGGCAGAGGCAGTTAGGGGCAATCAGGCAGGCAGGTGGAGAGTTTAGGGACGATCAAACAGGAAGGCAGAGGGAATAGGGGTGATCAGGCAGGTAGGCAGAGACAGTTAGGGGCAATTAGGAGGAGCCAGCAGTTCCATATTGCAAGAGGGATGTCCAACTGCCGGTTCAGGCCCAATCTCTGTGGGTCCCTGACCGGAGAGGATGCAGGCTGGGCAGGGGAAACACCCCCTCCATGCATGAATTTGTGCACCGGGCCACTAGTCTATATAATAAAAGCCTAAGCAACCATTATGGTGGAATAACCAGAACAACAGGTCACTATTATGCACACTGACCACCAGGAGGCAGATGCTCAACACAGGAGCTGCCTCCTGGTGCTCAGTGTGCTTCCACAGGGGGAGTGCTGCTCTGCCAGAGCTGAGCTCATGGTTGGCAAGCACAGTGGTGGCGGTGGGACCTCTCCCACCTCCGCAGCAGCGCTAAAGAGCAGTGAGCAGAGTGGTAAGGAGCAGCAAGCAAGCGGGCAGTAAGGAGCTGAAAGGGGAGGGACGTAAAACCCCTCATGGAATTGGTGCCCGAAGACGCCTGGTGGACACACCATGAAGGCCACGGGCAGGAGGATCAGAAGACGTTCTGACC